TATATACATATATATATATATACATATATACATATATACATATATATATATATATATATATAATTAATTGATTAGTAGTATTTCGAGTCAAAATGAGCCGAACACAAACGTGTTGTTAGTGTTCGTCGTGTTCAACTGGTTAACTTAAGGAACGAGCAGCCATTTTGACAGCCCAATGACAACATGCAAAGGCTCTATTACGTACAGCAGCTTCTGAAATCCATGCATTTTATTTACACAAAAGTCCTTATTTTTTTAATTATTTACAGGGACCTGAGATCCGCACCGGCTTCCTGAAAGACGGAAAGCCCGTCCAATTGAAGAAAGGTCGAGAAATCACCGTAACCACCGATTACAGCATTAAAGGAGACGAAAGCATTATTTCGATGAGTTATAAAAAGCTTCCTGAAGATCTAAAGCCGGGAAACACCGTCTTGTGCTCGGACGGGACGATATCTCTGACGGTCTTATCTTGTGATACCCGGGCCGGAACCGTGCAATGTCGCTGCGAGAACAGCGCAATGCTCGGCGAGAGGAAGAACGTTAATCTGCCGGGAGTCGTCGTCGATCTTCCCACCCTGACGGACAAAGACAAGGAAGACATTATGGGGTGGGGAGTCCCCAATAATATCGACGTAATCGCTCTCTCGTTTGTTCGCAAGGCCTCTGATCTTGTTGCCGTGCGCGAGCTTCTCGGACCCTATGCCGATCGCATAAAATTGATGTCTAAGGTATGGAAAAACATGCAAGTAATAAGGGTTGGGGTTGTTCGGGAGGTATTGAAGGGTTATATCGTTATTATTGAGGTTAATACTCCTAATAATTTCACAAAACTTCTGAATAACAATAAAAAATATATGTTATTGGAGGGTTATTGAAAGGTAATATTTCAATAAATTCTTAATAACCCTCAATAACTGAGGTATTAGACTGTTATTTTGTGGAATACGCACACAGAATTGCGTGCTTATTTCGGAGGGTTATTGAAAGGTAATATTTCAATAAATTCTCAATAACCCTCAATAACTGAGTTATTAGAATGTTATTTTGTGGAATACGCACACAGAATTGCGTGTTTATTCTGTATGTAAATAGCGCTCCTAATGCATGTTGATATAAGTAAGTTTTAGTTCCCTATAGATGGGAAATATTTGCATACGGACGACACACACAGAGCGTCTTGTGTATTCCGTACGTAAAATAGCTCTCCTGAGGTAAAGTTTTTGTTCCTTAGAAATGAGAAATATTTGTGTACGGACGACGCACGCAGAGCTCTGTGCGTAATAACCTCTCAATAACCTCCACTTTGTGGTTATTAGGGGGTTATTGGGAGGTTATTAAGTTATTAATCTAAATAATAATCTTCGACAAGTTCTATTTCGATGTTATTTATAGGTTATTACGAAAGTATTGCGGGGTTAATCGAGTACGCACGCAGGGTTGCGTGCGTATTCCGTACGCAAATATTGCCCCTTATAGACAGATTCAGCTCCATTTGAAAATCAACCATCGGACACTATATTGTCATATATGTCGTTACAGGACAACGTGACGTTTGACAGTTGACCGTCATGACAAACATAAATATTTTTTAGTTAAAGGTGCTAATATATTGTTGAAATGTCTCATCAGGTTGAGAATCAGGAGGGAGTTGTAAACTTCGACCAAATCCTGAACGAGACGGATGCCTTCATGGTGGCGAGAGGAGATCTTGGAATGGAGATTCCGATCGAGAAGATCTTCCTCGCTCAGAAGATAATGATCCAGAAGTGCAATCTCGCCGGCAAGCCGGTCGTCACCGCCACCCAGATGCTCGAATCCATGACCAGCTCTCCGCGCCCCACGCGCGCGGAGGCCACGGACGTCGCCAATGCCGGCC